TTTTTCCTTCTTGTCGTCTCGACCGTCCATTTGAGACATCTTCACACTTTGCAAGTAGTCGGTTTCGGCCTCCTCGACATTCATGTATTTGGCACATCTTCCCAACACATCATCGAAACTCCTACCAGGTCGCTTGGCCAAAGAGTTCCTATACAACCCTGGTAGTAGTCCTCTCGTCAATCCTTCCGATTTGATTTCCTCTGTCGCTGTTGGGCATTCGACGCACGCCTTGGTAAATCTCGCCACATACTCCCGCAATGACTCACCCTTCTTCTGCTGCATGCTAATCAACGAGAGATAAGATTTCTCTTGCACCCTCACGCTTGCGAATTGGTTAAGAAAGCTCGAGCTAAAGCCATCAAAGTCCCTAATCGACCCCGCTGGTAGTTGATGAAACCAGTCCTGGGCCGACCCTGTCAGAGTCGTCAAGAAAGCGCGACATTGCACTGGGTCGCTATATCGATGAAGTACTGCCATATTTTCGAAACTCCTCAGATGTCGAGACGGGTCGGTGGAACCGTCGTACCATATGTTCAATTCCATGAAGCCTTTGGGTAAGTCAGCTCTCAAGATTTGCAGCGAGAATGGGTGTTCTTTTGCTCCTCTGCTCTTCTTCCCATCGACTCGAGCCTGTAAGTCGCGAACTTGGGCTAGTAGTTGTTCTAACGTCTCGTCCCTCGCTTGTGGATTGACAGTTCAAATGGAGGACTCTTCCTTGTCTACCCTCCTATTCTGTTGTACGTTTGACTGGGCTTGCTGCTCGACACGGGGCTGCTGCTCGACTCGAGGCGGATACTCGACTCGGGGCTGCTGCTCGACACGAGACGGATACTCGACTCGAGGCTGCTGCTCGACGTGCGCCATTTGCTTCATCTGGGCAGCTAGAGCTTCAGCGATTATCTTCTGCATTTCGCCTCTCGTCATTGTCAAGGTCTGCTCCTCGACATGAAGTTGGGTTTGCTGCGGTACCTCTTGTATCTGTTTCCCCTCACGTCGAGACATCTCCGTTGGCTCTTTTTCTCCATCCGGATTAGGGTTTTTGACTTGTCCCCACTTGGGTCAACACTTGCAACTTCACGCCGGTTGGAGTGACAGGCGTTTCTCCGCCCAACGTCAGTCCTGGTGGCGGAGGTCCTCCAAACGGTGGCATTCCCATCATCTGCATCACGGGGTGTTTGGTGGTGGAAAGTGGTGGTGGCCTCTTGTCCATCCACGTCCCTCTAAACTCCTCGTTCAAGTTCCTCTGCAAGCTCTCCTTCTCCGCCATCAGCAAACAGATCGGAGCTGGGTGTGAAGCTCTTCCTTCCTTCAAGAACTCCCCACAGACGGCGCCAATATGATGAGTCTACTTTCAGATCTGGAGTAAACCGGTGGATGTGAGCTCAGATCTGCTTGAACCGCCTCCAAATCGTTGCTAGACCGCGAGACACCTGCAAAAAACTCAAAGCCGGAGGTGTTTCCGGCGTAGAGCCTCCGACGCTCAAGTCAGTATGGGAGTGATGAAGAGAGGCTGCGCAGCAGCTATGGGGGAGAGTGGGAATGAATGAGAGTTAGGGTTTGGGGTTACCTCATCTCCTTTATATAGGAGTGAATACTTACTTGAAGTGCCCAAAATGCCCAAGTCGGTGGACCTAGAAGGTCCAAAATACCCTGATCGATTCGTCTCCCCTTGTTGCTGAGTCATCGCAAGATTCCTTCTTATCCTTTGTAGTGTGTAGAGCTTCAGATATGTTGCAAGTGTGGTGAATCGTCTTCACTTGCTTTAATCCTCGAGATGTGCAGAGTCGACCTCGAGAGTTAAGAGGTCGACTTATAAATGTATGCGGTTTCGGAGGCTACGCTTGGTTTGACTCTCCGTGGTGAAGTCGTCTTCCGAGAGTCGTCATAGTGGAGTCGACTAGTGGAAGTCGACCCAGAGTATCTGATGCATGGGAGTTACGCTCCTGATATTTTCTCCACTTTACGTCGGCTAGTGAAAGTCGATAGACGGAAGTCGACTTGCGAGAGTCGACTAGACCGATATCTTCCTTCTCCCGATTGCTCTTGGTAGGATCGACTTTAGGGAAGTCGAGTTGATCATGTCGACGGGGTCATGTCGACATGTGAGTCGTTTAAGTGGTTCTCCGGTCGAGTAGGAAGCTTCTGGGCCTGGTTATCCTTATATGGCTATATCAGAGGCCAACATTATTGGTCATTAGTCCAGTTGCTTCTGAACGCCGAATTCGACGTCAAAAAGGAGGCTGCTTGGGCAATATCAAACGCATCATCTGGTGGCACTCACGATCAAATCAAGTGAGTTGTTTATTTATCTATTTTCCTTCATATATTAATTAACAACAGCTTTTGAATATAACAGGTACCTCGTGAGCCAAGGATGTATCAAACCTCTGTGTGACCTTCTGGTTTGCCCGGACGCGAGGATCGTGAGCGTTTGCTTAGAAGCGCTCGAGAACATTCTGAAGGTGGGCGAGACGGAGAAGAATTTCGGCCACACAGGAGAAGTCAACCTCTACGCGCAGCTGATCGATGATGCTCAAGGGTTCGACGAAATCGAGAACCTTCAGAGTCACGACAATAACGAGATTTACGACAAGGCTGTCAAGATTCTCGAGACATACTAGTTGGAGGAGGAGGAGCGGCGCCACCTGGCACAATTGTTTACCTATATGACCTTCGAGCAATAAAATATTCAAAAATTATGTAGATTTGAAAAACCCGTAGTAAAATCGACTTGGATTGGATAGTTTGTTTATACACATACACATGGCTTTATGTAATAGGTTGGACTATGTAACCTTGATAAAAGTCTACTTCCCCGACTTTCAATTGCTCCAGTCTATGCATTCTCAAATTACTTTTAATTTGTCCACGTTTTTATTTTTTCAAATTTCACCCTTTGTTAAAAATTATCTAGTTTTTTATTTTTGTCAAAATTTCACATCAGACCTAGTTTTTTATTTGAACCAGCCCATATATAAATATATATATATATATATATATATATATATATAGAAAAGATCATATGAGAAAGGGAGACAATGAAAGAAATGAGAATAAATCCAGACCATTTGATCCATCAAGTTAATGGTCATGATCAAGTCAAACTATGGTCAATCATTAATGGCAATATGGTAAATTAACACACATATTGGTCAAATCTATATATTTGACTAATTATTAAAGGTATTTTAGTCATTATAAAACAATCAACCACATTAATGTGGGACCCACCATAAACCATCCTAATTTCTCTCTCCCTGATTTCTCTCACCACAAACCATCACACACGCACACGACACGTCTGCTCACAAACACACACAGAACTCCACACAAACTTCGGCCAGGCGGAGAAAACTCGGCGCGGCGGCGACGGAGGCGACGGAGGCGAGATGACACGGCGGCGGACGGACTCTACACGACGGACTCGGCCGCGACCGGAGGCGAATCGAGCGGCGGCGGGCGGAGACGAATCGATCGGCGGCGGATGGAGAAGAGTCGATTAGGCGGCTGTCTGAGGCAAGGCGAGGCGCGGCAGAGACGGACGGACGTGAGGCAGTCGGACTCGAAGCCTTGAAGATGACGAGACCAAGGTAGACGATTGGCCTTCTTGTTCCGGCAGATCTCGGAGGCGGCGGCGACGGGGTGTTTGGTGGAGCAGGGCTGTCGAGGTGTTGATTGCGGACGAGGGTCAGGCGGCGGCGGGCTGACGGATGAACAATGAACAGTGGACAATTGCTGTGTTCGGAATTTGACGAGGCTTAGGCAGATCTTGGTTTGGAATTTGATTTGTGGGCTTACTTTTGAGAATTTGATAGTTTATAGGGACTTAACTGCAATTGTTAAAAAGCTTAAAATATTGCAATTTAATACATGTGTTAAATATTTATTTTATAAAAAATAGTAAATGAACATTAATGATATATAAATTGTACATTAATATATTAAATGAACAATAATTATAGAGAATGTCCACAATTTTATGAGAATTGCTCCTAACCAGAGATTTCAATTTACTGACGATGCAAATATACAGTGCGTGTGGGGATAGGTTTTATTATAATTTTAACAAAAAAAAAATAATAAAATACAAATAAAATAAAAAATAATAATAATATTTTTTATGTAGTTCAGTCGTTCGATTATTTCAGTTATCTAAATAAAAAAGTATAAAAATTATTATTTTTAATATAGTATATTTTTTATTTTGGTTATTTGAATAAAAAATAAAATCATACCGAAATACCAGATATATAAAAAAATAATAATAACAACTGACCCAAAATACAAAATTCCGTACTGAATTTCTATTCGTTGATCTCGTACGATTTTGTGCAATCTGTTAAACATTTAAGTGCAACCCGTGTAACCATAACGTGCAATCGCAATATATAAAAATATAGATATAAAAAATATTATTAATTTTCATAAAAAAAATATAAGTAAAAAAAATCGGTGATATTTTTCATATAGTTCATCATGTTTGTTATTTTGTTTATTTAAAAAAACTAAATCCGACATTTATCCAACTAATATTATTCAATCGATTAGCATAATTACAACAATTTTGGTAAATGTAGCGTGATGTTTTTAAGGTGCTAACATGTTGTGTTATAAAGTGTGATGTACTGTTATATAAAGTGCAATATGTTGATATATACGGTGCAATAATGATATGTTAGCATGCCTGTGTTTTTTGATGTGATGGATATTAAAATATTATGTAGATCCGTTTTATAAATTTATATTGAGTAATATTTTGGTGACAAATATTGACATTAATTGTGGATTGTAGTGATAAAGTGTAACGTGTTGTTTTATAAAGTGCACGTATGCTATATAAGGTGCGCTAATTATACCTTCTCATATAAATTATGTGTATTCGAAAACTAGTATTAATATATATATATAATTGTACATTGAATTATCTTAAATAATTAAAACTTTATTTATCATTTTATTATGTAATTATCATAATTTATTTCTTATATTATTTTGTGAAATCAAAATTTAAGAAATTGCAAGTAAGTCGTTGAACAATATCTAATTTTCAAAAAAACAAAAAGAAAGAAACTAAATTAATCATAATCCCCAAAATGAAGTCTCAATCGACCAAATTGAAAAAAAAAATAAAAAATTAACCCTAATCCCCAAATCAAGTTGAATATGTTTCCGCCATTAATCAACTTCGGGTAGAACAAGTTTCCGCCATGAATGGAGTTGAACAGGTCATCGCCCCGCCCCGCCACGCCATGGCTTGAACTGAACGTGTCGTCGTCTCGTTCACGTCCGACCACCACGACTGAAGTGTTTGTCGCCTGATGTGCAGTCGCCCCGCCACCATCGGCGAATCTCGCCGGAGATTCTACTAATGCTGAAGATGGAGACCTTCGTCGGATGGGATGTACGCTGTAGACGAGGAAGACGGCGAAGCTGGTGTCGCCGCCGCCGCTTCTGATCGTCTCTAAGATTCCCTCCGGCGGTCGACGACGTTTCCGGTGGAGTTTGATTGCTCCGTGGTCGACGACGAGTCTGCAATTCCGGTTCATGTCGCCATAGGAGGCGCCGTTGTTGTAGCTGCCCGGTGACCTGAGGGAGCCGATTTTTAATTGCAGAGGTGTTTGTGTGAGAGAGAGAGAGGGAGAGAGAGAGAGAGAGAGAGAGAGAGAGAGAGAGAGAGAGAGGCGGTGGGGTGAAGAGAGAAAGTGAATTTGAGTGAGATGGGTCTAGCACGTGAAGAGGTGTGTTTTGGTGGGGGTGGGTTCTATTGATTATGGATTGTTAATAAATGCCTACATTGCCCTTTATTAGTGGTAATTGCTGTTGGTTTTTTGACCGTTCGGATGATTCAATCCGATGATTGGAATGTATTCTTATTTCTTTCATTAAGCACTATTCTCACCGGAGCGCTCCGGTGAGAATATATATATATATAGGGTCGCGCTCCGGTGAGAATGGTGCTTAGTGAAAGAAATAAGATTAAATCTTAGCCATTCGATCATATGATCCAATGACTCAAAAAAATCAACACTGATTAAGGGGAATGTGGTAATATCTCAACCATCTACCTCAGTGGGACCCACCCCATCATCAACACGTCACACGTTCACAGCCTGTCAACCACTCTCTCCCGTTCACCCAGCCTGTCAACTCCTCTCTCTCTCTCACACACACAGGCACACACACACAATCGAGACGCACCCAGTTACACACTGTAGCGCCCCATTTGTTCCACATTATTTTGGATATTATTATTATTATTTATTTTAGTTTCCGGATTTATTTAAATCGTGCTCGATTATCATAATCGATTATGCGCTCGGAAATTGTCTAATTGTGTGATTTAATAATTTAATTTTCGAGCCAAATCATAATTTAATTATTATTTTTATTATTTGTTATTATTTTATTTTATATTCCGAAATTAATTATTCGGGCTCCATAATTTTATTTCTAATATATGCTCGTAATTGCTAAATTGTATTAATTTAAATGTCGAGCCGAATAGTGTTATTTATTTTATTTTCGGTCGAACCGAAATATTAAATAAACGAGCCTTCGAACCGAGCGAGTACGTATTATTTTTTTTTATCGAACCGGGCCGAGCCGAACCCGCCCTTTTCCTCCCGAACCCGGCCCGTGCCCCACGTGAAAAATGAATTGGCCCAACCCCATTATCCTCTTTTGCATGCACTAGTGCAAAACCCGTGCGTTGCACGGAATGTAAAATTTTGGAGAATAATAAAATATGGCATGAATTAGGATCGAAATAATTATAATACGTAGGAACATTATTACAAAAAAAAGGATTGTTTCGTCACGAAACAATCATATATTATTAAAAACCTCCTTGTACACAATATTATGAGTTTGGTTATTGGGTAACTCCTCATTATCACAAATTAATATTTTCAACCCTCTTCTAGTAGTTACACGTGAAAGAGCAACATATAATTGGCAGTGACTAAAAACCGGTTTCTTCAGGAATAGACCAACATGCGATAAAGATTGTCCTTGACTCTTGTTTATGGTCATAGCATATGATATCACAAGTGGAAATTGTCGCCACTGGAACTTAAATGGAATCCTAGTATCAGATGGAGTAATATTCATTCTAGGAATCAACACATTCTCTCCAGCGTGATCTCCCGTCAATATCTTGCATTCGAGAACATGAGTAGACAGTTTAGTCACAACCAATCGCGTCCCATTGCACAGTCCCATAGAATGGTCCATATTGCGCAACAACATTACTGGAGTTCCTACCTTCAGGTGCAACTTATGATTGGGAGTTCCAGAACACTTGATGCTATTCAGGAATTCTGGCGTGTGGAGATCTGCCAAGAAATCATTACCAGAATCCGACTTAGAAGTACTGTCAGAGCTCAAGTACGTACGACCTTCAGAAGAATTCATATCGGACATGTATTGATTGATTGACTCAACAACTTTCAATGTGGGAGCTAATATAGCCCTATCCTTCAAATAACTCGGATCGTTAGTTGCGTTCTTGAAGATTGGATAGGTACTTTCTACAATCGTAGCAATTGGATCATCAGATGGATCCAGTCTTATATCATCTGGAATTTCGATCGCGGCACAACCATCATTTGATCCTCCTATAGTACCATCTCCAATACTCGCAATCCAATCTGCAAATGCAGCCACCTCGTCATGCTCATCCGAATCGGAAATGCTCTGAAGACGCATGTTTTTCGTAAGCCGGAGCACAGTACAGTCCTTCCAAATGCTGGATGCATTAATAGATGCATTGACACTGCAGACTCCCCTTTGGAATGACTGGAAGGATCTATCGAAAATCTCCACCAAAGACAATCGGCTTGCCTCCGAAGGGCTTGCTTTTATTCGAAGGGTCTAATACTCCTATTATACCCTGCAGTGATGTTTGAACTACCTCAAAGCAATTTTTGTGCATCATCGGCGCCTCGTCCCATATGATTAGAGAGCATTTCATTATCAACTCCGCAAGAGGACTTGCCTGATTAATATCACAAGAAGAATTTTCATGAAGACTAATGGGTATTCGGAATTGAGAATGTGCAGTTCTTCCGCCAGGTAACGAAAGCGATGCAATTCCACTCGATGCCACATTTAAAACGATTTTACCCTTCGACCGCAATGCCGCAGACAAAGTTCTCCACAAGTATGTCTTTCCAGTACCTCCATAACCGTATACAAAAAATACTCCACCAGCAACTGAATCAACAACGGTCATAATTCTTGAATAAACTCCTTTCTGTTCATCGGCCATTCTCCCAAGAAGTGCTTTGTGTTCCACAGCAAGCGCGCTACGATCATAATTAAGCTCATCCAATAGAAGGCGGTTTGAAGTGTTATGCATACTACCACTGTCCGGATAAGGCATGGATGAATATTCACGAAGACTTGAGCCGCGAATTCGCATAAGAGTCTCAATTTCAGCAAGGGTGAGATTCTTTATAGCATCTTCACTGAGCCGCAAATCTGGAAGTCGAAAAATTCAATAATTTAGAGAAGCAATGGTTACACAATGTTAATTGATATTTTGTATTTTTTATGTAAAAAAAATAATCAATATAAATTGAATGATATAAAAAGCACAATTACCATCGTTATTGAACAATCGTCGCTGTATGTATAGAATGTCGTCAGATAATACATCCAACATTGTTGCCATACGTCGTCAGGTCTACTCAAAGAGCCAGAAATCAACAATGACGCAAACATACGCCTAAGAGACTCTGCAGATGCCCAATGACTTGCTTCGGTTATACCGTCTATATACTCTTTGTCATCATCTAACAATCCATGTTCGTAGCAGGCATCTCGATAATTTTGATACTGGACTTCGCCTACTTTCATGTAGTCCTCGTGGCATGTAGCACCGCGAACAACATTTAGTAAACACCTCAAATAGTAATTATCACCACAGCCAGGATTCACGTGGTGTAGACGGGCGATTGTTCCATCTCTTATTCGAGGAGTCCACTCTCTAGTTTTTGCGTTCCAAACAAATTTCGACGTTGACCCCACATAAGTTAGCTCCCTGGCCGCTGGGTACTTCTTATTCGCCTCAAACCAAGCTAGAAATTGACTCTCATTCACTGTTGGTTTATTCAAAACATCCTCCAAATCATCATCATCATCAAAAATTATGTTCTGCTTATCATTAAGATGAAAGCTTAAACGTTGTACTGCTGGCCTCTTATACTGCAGCTCAAAACCCAAAAATCTCCAAGCAGCCTCACAAGAAGACACATAACGACAATCATAGTACATGTTGATCTCATCTAGCGGCTTTTCAACATCTACATCAGCAGAAGTTTGATAGAATGACGCAGTCACACAATCATTTCCTTTGTTAAGATACTTGAATAAGTACTTTATGGATCGTGATTGATTGCACCACTCAACGTTAACATGTGCGCCATATTTAATGAGCAAACGATGATTATGGGGCACAACATAACCATTATTGAGGAAGACACCATTCTTCTCAATATATTTACCATCTTCTCGACGCCTGTACCGTAAATACCCATCCTCATCCACACTGGTGGCATCGAAAATTTTTTTTGGAAATCGTTTGCTGCATTTGCCGTTTACCATGCACGGTGAGTTTTTTCTTGCAGCACCACACGGTCCGTGCATCATATGTTCCTTGACCGCTTGATAATACATAGGATCAGACGTCTCATCCGGTATCTCAGCAGACATTATCCTGTCAATGTCAGATGGGTCGGGAAACTTATGGTCCTTGTCAAAGAAAAGTAGTATGTGTGCATGTGGCAGTCCACGCTTTTGGAATTCAATGGTGTAGACAACTGAAAAAAATAAACAATAGAAATTGATAAATATGGTTACTAGATAATTGTATTGGATTGTTTTTTTAATAAAGAATAAATTATGATATTAGTATACAAATTAAAATTTATAGTAAGTGTTCGACCTGCAGTAACCTTCCCAAAGATTTGTTTCTCACGAAAATCCTCATTCCCTTAAGTTTTGCCCTAAATACCCTGCAAACGATATCTGGTCGATCCTCAGGACGCAATTTCCTCGGCTCAAGAAAACGAATAATCTCCGGCCAGTTTGGATTGCAGATAAATGTGACAAAAAAATCAGGATATCCTGCCCACCTACAAATTGCCATTGATCCTGGTAATTTTGAATCATATTCCTAGGACCACCAATGAATGTAGAAGGGAGAATAATACGCTTTCCTCGAGAGCTGGGATCGGTATCGCCACGCAGCACAGCATCAGCCAGACCCTTATACATCTCACAATGAAGCTTTTTCTGATTAAAGCGAATATATCGCAACCTCGATGCTTCAACCATTGTGTAAGCGTCAACTAAAAATTGTTGAAATAGTCTTCTAGATGAAAGAATTGTTCGTGGCTCAAAATCCCTATCATGCATACGATATGCAAAAAATTCCCTACAACTAACGTGCTTTCTACCATCTTCAGTCTCCACTTTAATAGCAGAAAATGGAATATCTTCCATATAGCCATCCTCTTTATAAGGCAATAACAGTGGATATTGT